ATTAAATAATATTGATCAAATAAGTTCTTAAACACTTTTTGTGCAAAAAATAATGATCATCCAATATAGAATTCATAGAAAAAAATACATTATTCTTAGAAATCACTTGTATATTATGTTTATTCCATTCCAACAATTAAAATCTCTTAACTAAAAATAAATTTATTTCACAAGATTAAAATAAGTTTAATTTATCACGTAAGCACTATCTTCACTTCTCTTATTATTTAAAACAAAATATCCACTTTAAATGATAAAACTTATTATGTTAAATATTTTTTTTTCTTGTTATTACAATTTCAATGTATCAATGAAATGGGTAATTTTTTATGTATATTTTTTGAAAAAAAAATATTTTCTATCACTTGAGTATTTATTTTTTCTTTTAACGATGGATTATTTTTGTTTTAATTTTATTTAGATTCATTAATGATCTCACCATACGAACTTACTATTGTTAGTTGGGCATGCGATTTATTGAAATTAAAGATTTTGTATCTTTGTCAATTTGTTATTTAAGAGGCATAATTGAGTGTGTTTGGATTAGTTATAACTGAGCAAATTAAACAACTTATAAATTATATATTTTCTTTATTATCCATTATGTAGTCATTCTCAACGCAAATTTGAGGATTTTTTTCCCCCCTTTAAATTCGACTTTACATTTTTAAATCCTCGATATAGGTATATATTAAAAGACAAAATTTTTTAGATCAAAATCATAGGGAATTAGTTGGGCTCATGATATGATAATTAGTATTAGTCCGAGTTTGTTTCCCCATTGTGGTCTGAAGATGTCACAAGCAATGTTTTAAAATCAAACTCGAGGTGAAACCCGGCAAAGTGGTCGGGTCACAGGTTGATTAGTTTAATCGGTTTGATTGGCGGGTTAAACTGATGTCCAGAGGTTTGAAATATAACAAAAATACTCTTAAAAATTACATGTAAGTCGCTATATTTTTTGAATCTTACAAAAACACCCCAAACACCACCGTTAGTGTCGACAAATAGGGCTTGTTTCCAATGACGACAACACTCCCCATCATCACAAAAACACTCCATTCAGTCTCCTGATCAAAACTCATCTCACCCCTCCTCTGTTCACCTCCTCAATCGACGGCAACAGCAGACTTTTTTTGACAACACAGTTTTGCGAATTTCGGTCGATTCACTCATTGGAAATTACCGTTGTCACCATCATTGCACTCATCAGCCATTCCTCTTTAAAAACCATAACATCCTAACCTTTAATTGTTTATAGATTGATGTCATTACTTTTAGGGTTTTGAATGAATAAAAAAATTTGTAACCTGATCTGGTGAAGGTCTCGGGTCCTGGTTGAACCAGCCAGCTAGGCTGGGTTTGAAAACACTGGTCACAAGACTGCAAAGTCCATCTCACATAATTGGTAAATAAGTCTAGGATTCATTTCATAAAGGTTTTTTTTTTTTTTTTTGGTAAGTAGTTCATAAAGTTTGATTCTAGGTAAAGGCTACAAACAAACCCGTGCGGCCTATACCAAAAAACGAATATTCACTTGGTTAAAAGTTAGTAAAAGTTAAAACTGAGGTATAATATTATCTTCCTATAGTTTAAAAATGAAATTAAAAGAAGAATAAAAATTAAATAAAAAGATTCAAAGGCTCAACCGACAACTATTGACTCATTGACTATTAAGTTGAGTCCATAATTCTCATCTTCACCAGCTTAGATTCTAATTGGGCGATGGAAAAAAAATAAATAAATACATTACGATCGTATTAGTTGTTACATCACATATTAATCATGACTTAATGGACAACCCGAAAGTATGGGCTTTTCATATTTAATTAATAATTATGTTATGGTCAATCTGAGTTGATTACAGGTGTGTAATAAAAATATTATACATTAACACTTCAATAGGGCCCAGGTAACGCAGTCAAAGTTTTTGAACACATAATTGTTTCCGTTTAATAAAAGTGATTTTTTTTTTTTTAATTTAGACGATTAATCAAATTTATTTAAATTTTAATTAAATAAGTTAAAGTTCTGGTTTTTATTTCAAATTCTGAAATCTTATTAGATTTCTATTAAATATGCTTTTTAAAATATTATATTTAATTAACAAACGTTATCTAAGTTTTATACTAATTTTAATTTTACGAAGGGATAATTAATGAATAGATTTGAGTGGTTTTAGCTCTAATATAATTCAATTTGTAGAATTTTACCCTAATTTATTTTACCTTTTCTTTTGAAATTTGGAAAACTGAACGAATCTAGTAGTTTGTCGAGAAATGAATTTTCTATTATATTATAAAAAAAGTGTATATAACTTAGTTAGAATGCTGGTAACATTTAATTTTATGTCTAAAAGAATATGTTAAATAAAATTTAATGAAATTATATAAGTTTTTAGATTTAATAATTATAATTAAAAAGATTTAAATCATCATTAATCTTTTATTATTTGTCGATCGATCACCTTCAACCTAATCTAATTGAATAATTGATTTGCGTTAAACAAAAACCTAACAAATTAATGGTTAAATGCTATTCTAGGGTTTTTGATGTGGAGAGTTGATAATTGTGAATGAACAATGTTACCTACATATGCACATTCTAATATTTATAAGAGGTATTTTCTTATTTAAAAGTAAATTTTTTTTAGGTCAATTCCATACGACCTGAGAGATTGTTTGGTCTCAAATACTTCGACTATTTTCAAAACTATAAAATATTGTGGATTAGAAATAGGATGTTTTATACTTCTGCATATGGCAATAAAATGTTTACATAGGGTTTTTTATATTTATACTTTGTATGGGCAAAAATTTTATGTTGAAAACCCAAGAATTAAACGAGGTCAAGGATCTCCGTCCGTCTCTTTTCTCTTGTTTGGTAGGTTGTCACTTTTCAACTTCCGTGGTTGTGGATTCCGAGCATCTACATTGTACGTTTTTATATATATATATATATTTTCAAGAAATTTTTTAGTAATTTCTAAGAGTATTTAATAGTTTTCAAAAACTGTTAGGCCATTAAGGTCTTAGGGTGGATGAAATTAAACCTGTTTTCTTTTAAAAAAATAATTCTAATCTAATATGGATTTGTTGGTAAAAATTTTCAATTCAATTCGATTTCATAATTTTAATTTGTTTAATTAATTTATTATAAAAAATGGTAATAATTCAATTTATTAATCAAACTGATTAATTATATTTTTTTAAGGCCCCTAGGTTGCTAATATTAATAAATACCTTTATATAAAATGACAAAAACACCCCACCACCTGCAACGCCAGATTCCGGCCACCACTACTGGAATCTAGTCGGAAAATCGTGTTACGACATAGACCAGTCGGATCTGTGTCGTAACGCGTCGTTATGACTTTTTCGGCCAGATCCACCACGAATGTCCGAAAAAGGTCAGATCTACGGCTGTTGTGGTCGTGATGGCCAGAGAAAAGGCCAAACCGCAGATCCTGGTGGATCTTACCGGAAAAGGCCAGACGGTGAACTTCCGGCCATTTCTGGTCGACAGGTAGGCCGTTGTACAGATTCCGGCTACCACGATGTGGTTGCTGGAATCTGGCAAGTATGGGTCGCGGGGGTGTTTTTGATCATTTTTAAACTTTTTTAGGGTGTATTTGATGAAATTAATAACCTTATGGGGTCTAAAAGTAATTAAAAATAGGATAATATTTCTGGAATAATGTGCCAAAAATTATTTGGAGAATAAGATTGGGAATATGGTAAAAATAATAAGTCAAACATGCCCATAATTATCTTTCTGTAAAGATAACCCAATTTTTTTTCAAAATATATTTCTAAAAATCATCCAATAATGAACTATGAAGCCTTAGTTATTCATGAGTTAATTTCATTTGATGATTCCTAAGAAAAATACAGAGTCTTAAAGTCTTAATAACTTTCGAAATTTTAAATACCACTATTTCCAGTTTCTTGATATTCAATCATATAAAGGTTTTATTCGAGTTTCTTGTATTCATACAAGGGTTTAAGATATTTTAAGATGTTTTAAATATTTTTTAGGGGTCTTTAATAGCTTTAAAAAAATCTTTAGGAGCTTAATACTTTGTGAATTTTTTTGGGTATGATAATTGATGGCCACCGTTTGCCCTTGTTATACTTGAACATAAGATCCCTTACAGTCTTTTAACTCAAATCTATCCTTCACTCTACCAACAATGGGTGGTTACTTCGCCAAATTTTAAAGTTATAAAATTAATCCTTTTTTTTTTTTTTTTTTTTTTTAAAGGGGCGCAACAAAATAAGCCGCGGGTGAGATTTTTGGAAAAAACAAATATATTTAAAATTATAATTTATCAAATGTTATAACTTCATTCATTCATATAAAAATAAAAAACCTAATCGTATTAAATAATATTGATCAAAAACTTCTTAAACACTTTTTGTGCAAAAAATAATAAACATCCAATATGAATTCATAGAAAAATACATTATCTTAAATCACTTGTATATTATGTTTATCCTTCCAACAATAAAATCTTAACTAAAAATAAATTATTTCACAAGATTAAATAAGTAATTTATCCGTAAGCACTATCTTCACTCTTATTATTTAAGACAAAATATCCACTTTAAATGATAAAACTTATTATTAATTTTTTTTTTTTCTTGTTAATACAATTTCAATGTATCAATGAAATGGGTAATTTTTTATGTATATTTTTTGAAAAAAAATTATTTTCATCGTTGAGTATTTATTTTTTTTTAACGATGGATTATTTATCTTATAAATATATATTTCTTTATTATCCATTATGTAGTCATTCTCAACGCAAATTTGAGGATTCGACTCAACATTTTTAATCTCGATACAGGTATATATTAAAGACAAAAAAATTTGGATTAAAGTCATAAGGGAAGTTTAGCTTGTTGTCAACCTTTTACTTGCAGGCCATGTCTAACTTGAGAGTAGCATCTAACTTGTAATCGAGTGCGCAACAATGGATACGTAAGATTTCCTGTCTTATGATAAAACAGTGGCCTATCTCTGCTAGGGATGAGGTTACTCTTCGGGCTCTTGAAGTGCCTTATGTTGATAGAACAAGGGCTATTCCGAAACTGGTTTATTGGAGGAAACCGGCTGAAGGGTGGATTAAATTGAATGTAGATGGATGTTGCCGCGGCAACCCGGGCAGTTGTGGGGGAGGAGGTGTCATTCGAGATGTGCGAGGTATTTTCAAAGGGGCTTTCTCTTCTTCTTTCGGGCATGGCACAAATAATGAGGCTGAATTGAGGGCGTTACTAGCTGGTATTTCTTTGTGTAAAGAGCTGGGTTTTAATCAAATAAATATTGAGAGCGACTCCACTTTGATTGTATCTTGGTTGAGTAGTCGAAAGTGCACGGCTTAGTACTTATGGAAGAACTATTGGGATGATCTTTTGATACTGTTAAGAGATGTACATTTCATCATTAATCATCAATTACGCGAAGGGAATAGCGCAGCGGATTTCCTCGCTAGACGGGGCGAGGAGGGTAATAATAATACTTTTTTGGATTTTAATTCTTTGCCTCGTAAGTTGAAAGGCCTTCTTCGGTTGGATAAGGCGGGTTTGCCTCAGTTTAGACGGTAACTTGACTTTTTGGGTTTTTCTTTGGTTTAGGCTCGTTTGTTTTGTTTTGTTTTTTCTTTATAATTTTGATATTTGGGATGGTTTTTATTGAATTTCTGTAAATCCTAGATACCCTGCTTGTTACCACGGTTTTCCTCCGCCACAAGTGAGGCCTATTAATAAAATTGGGAGGAAGTCACTCATGGACAGGTGACTTCGTCTCTTCTCTAAAAAAATAATAGTAAATAAATGTGCGCAACGAGGTGACTCCTCGGACTGTTTCCTTTCTTTTGAAATGGAATTAGCTTCTTCTTTGCATTCACGTCCGATAGTGGCTAGGAGTTGATGATTATGAGGCATAATCCCTTCTAATTTAGATATGAGTAAGCCTTTTGCTCATACTTAAACCAAAATAATCATTATTCCAAGGTAATTATTAAGTCAGAATAATCATGGATTAAACTGATGAGCTCATTGATTAAATCTCTTTCTACCGAAGTNACTGATGAGCTCATTGATTAAATCTCTTTCTACCGAAATGACATGTGGGACGATGTTGATCGCCTGGATTTAGCTTGGTTAAAGGGCAGGTGTCACAAGTATGACAACCCGATATTCACTCAGAATAAGCAGTATTTAGGACGAGAAGTATTATTCTAAATTATAAAAATGATATTTTACGGGATATTAAATTTCAACTAAGTTACAAAAGCCACTAAGAAATCTCATTCTAGGATATCTTTTTTCTTTTTTGGATGGTGAACCCACCTAAAGATATTTCAATATGATATTTTAATGGGTTCCAAAATCTTTTTGTGTATGATTTGAAATTAGGGATAAGAAAATTGATAATATAATATAAACATATTAGATAATATAAAATAAAAGAGAAAGTGAGTATTTGTTTGTCTATACAGTGAAGATCTTTTTTCTTTCTTTTTTTTTTTAAATGTTAAAATCTAAATTGTAAACCCAAAATGAATGCATAAACTTTATAATATATACTTCTAATTTTTTTATAAAAAAATTATACAATAAGCTAGTTGCCGAATATATTGAATTTAAAAGGATAATCTATAAATTAGTGTCTAGATTTAGGTAATAACTAACCCAACAACTAATTTGACCAAGACATAAATGTGAATATTAAATTTTTTATTTATAATATACTTAAGAATACATACAAAAATTATGATATATAGTTTAATTGAAGGTTTTAAAATCTTTTATCTCAAACTTTGTGTAAATAATTTTGATTTATTATGATAGCCATTAGGCACGAATGCTTTAAAATCAATAAATAAATATAACATGTAGCATAATAAGTGGTACTGGTACACCATTAATTTTTATACTTGTAGGGTTTAAATGGAACAAGAAAGAAGAACTTTGGCAGCTTAATTTCATGGTTGATCCAGTTTTGCTGGAACGTTTTATCGAAATTGATGAGAAAATTTATTTTAAATGATCTATTTTAGAACACCATTGCCAGCTTTGGTGTAAAATTGTTACTACCAAATTGATTTTGAGAATAAATTAAACCATTTTAATATTCAAATAAGATTTAGGCTCCATTTGATACTCTTTAAAATTCTATTCTGCTTTCCCAATAAAGTTAAATAGAAAATCAACTCAAAAATGTATTTGTTTTAATATTCTCAAAATCCTATTCTACTTTATTAATCTCACGAAACATTAATGGGTGCGTTTGGTTTATTATTTTGGATAGGATTTTGGGAATAATATTGTGTAGTTGGATAGGGGAGTATTACGAGGTAAAATTTAAAACTTTATGAAAAAGCCCCTAGGTTTGCTAATTTAATTAAATACCTTAATATATAAAATGACAAAAACACCCCCACCACCTGCAACGCCAGATTCCGGCCACCACTACTGGAATCTAGTCGGAAAATCGTGTTACGACATAGACCAGTCGGATCTGTGTCGTAACGCGTCGTTATGACCTTTTTCGGCCAGATCCACCACGAATCTGTCCGAAAAAGGTCAGATCTACGGCCTGTTGTGGTCGTGATGGCCAGAAAAGGCCAAACCAGCCAGATCCATGGTGGATCTTACCGGAAAAGGCCAGATCGGTGAACTTCCGGCCATTTCTGGTCGACAGGTAGGCCGTTGTACAGATTCCGGCTACCACCGATGTGGTTGCTGGAATCTGGCAAGTATGGGTCGCGGGGGTGTTTTTGATCATTTTTAAACTTTTTTTAGGGTGTATTTGATGAAATTAATAACCTTATGGGGTCTAAAAGTAATTAAAAAATAGGATAATATTTCTGGAATAATGTGCCAAACATTATTTGGAGAATAAGATTGGGAATATGGATAAAAATAATAAGTCAAACATGCCCAATAATTATCTTTCTCGTAAAGATAACCCAATTTTTTTTTCAAAATATTATTCTAAAAATCATCCAATAATGAACTATGAAGCCTTAGTTATTCATGAGTTAATTTCATTTGATCCGATTCCTAAGAAAATACAGAGTCTTAAACGTCTTAATAACTTTCGAAATTTTTTAAATACCACTTATTTCCAGTTTCTTGATATTCAATCATATAAAGGTTTTATTTCGAGTTTCTTGATATTCATACAAGGGTTTAAGATGTTTTAAATATTTTTTAGGGGTCTTTAATAGCTTTAAAAAAATCTTTAGGAAGCTTAATACTTTGTGAATTTTTTTTGGGTATGATAATTGATGGCCACCGTTTGCCCTTGTTATACTTGAACATAAGATCCCTTACTTAGTCTTTTAACTCAAATCTATCCTTCACTCTATCCAACCACAATGGGTGGTTACTTCGCCAAATTTTAAAGCTTATAAAATTAATCCTTTTTTTTTTTTTTTTTTTTTTTTTTTAAAGGGGCGCAACAAAATAAGCCGCGGGTGAGATTTTTGGGAAAAAACAAATATATTTAAAATTATAATTTATCAAATGTTATAACTTCATTCCATTCATATAAAAAATAAAAAACCTAATCGTATTAAATAATATTGATCAAATAACTTCTTAAACACTTTTTGTGCAAAAAATAATAAACATCCAATATAGAATTCATAGAAAAAAATACATTATTCTTATAAATCACTTGTATATTATGTTTATTTCCTTCCAACAATTAAAATCTCTTAACTAAAAATAAATTTATTTCACAAGATTAAAATAAGTTTAATTTATCACGTAAGCACTATCTTCACTTCTCTTATTATTTAAGACAAAATATCCACTTTAAATGATAAAACTTATTATATTAATTTTTTTTTTTTTTCTTGTTAATACAATTTCAATGTATCAATGAAATGGGTAATTTTTTATGTATATTTTTTGAAAAAAAATTATTTTCTATCGTTGAGTATTTATTTTTTCTTTTAACGATGGATTATTTATCTTATAAATTATATATTTTCTTTATTATCCATTATGTAGTCATTCTCAACGCAAATTTGAGGATTCGACTCAACATTTTTAAATCCTCGATACAGGTATATATTAAAAGACAAAAAAATTTGGATTAAAGTCATAAGGAATTAGTTGGGCTCATGATATGATAATTAGTATTAGTCCGAGCTTGTTTCCCCATTGTGGTGTGAAGATGTCACAAGCAATGTTTTAAAATCGAACTCGAGGTGAAACTCAGTAAAGTAGCCAAGTCCCGGGTTGATTGGCGGGTTAAACCGATGTTCAAAGGTTTGAAATATAACAAAAATTATATATAAGTCCCTATATTTTTGGAATCTTACAAAAATACCTCAAACACCATCGTCAGTGTCGACAAATAGGGCTTGTTTCTAGCGACAACAACACTCCCTATCATCATAAAAACACTCCCTTCAGTCTCTTGACCAGAACCCATCTCACCCCTCCCCTGTTCACCTCCCAAATCGCCGGCAACAACAGACTTTTTCTGACAACATAGTTTTGTGATTTTCAGTCGATTCAGTCATCGGAAATCACCATTGTCGTCACCATTGCATTCACCAGCCATTCCTCTTTACAAACCCTGACATCATAATCTTCAATTATTTATGGATTGATGTCATTACTTTTAGGATTTTGAATGAATAAAAAAATTTATAACCTGACCTGGTGAAGGCCTCGAGTCCTAGTTGAACCGGCCAGCCAGGTTGGGTTTGAAAAAACTGGTCACAAGACTGGAAAGTCCATCTCACATAATTGGTAAATAAGTCTAGGATTCATTTCATAAAAGTTTTTTTTGGGTAAGTAGTCCATAAAGTTTGATTCTAGGTCAAGGCTACAAACAAACCCGTGCGGCCTATACCAAAAACCGAATATTCACTTGGTTAAAAGTTAGTAAAAGTTAAAACTGAGGTATAATATTATCTTCCTATAGTTTAAAAATGAAATTAAAAGAAGAATAAAAATTAAATAAAAAGATTCAAAGACTCAACCGACAACTATTGACTCATTGACTATTAAGTTGAGTCCATAATTCTCATCTTCACCAGCTTAGATTCTAATTGGGCGATGGAAAAAAAATAAATAAATACATTACGATCGTATTAGTTGTTACATCAAATATTAATCATGACTTAATGGACAACCCGAAAGTATGGGCTTTTCATATTTAATTAATAATTATGTTATGGTCAATCTAAGTTGATTACAGGTGTTCTTTTCAAGTAATAAAAATATTATACATTAACACTTCAATAGGGCCCAGGTAACGCAGTCAAAGTTTTTGAACACATAATTGTTTCCGTTTAATAAAAGTGATTTTTTTTTTTTTAATTTAGACGATTAATCAAATTTATTTAAATTTTAATTAAATAAGTTAAAGTTCTGGTTTTTATTTCAAATTCTGAAATCTTATTAGATTTCTATTAAATATGCTTTTTAAAATATTATATTTAATTAACAAACGTTATCTAAGTTTTATACTAATTTTAATTTTACGAAGGGATAATTAATGAATAGATTTGAGTGGTTTTAGCTCTAATATAATTCAATTTGTAGAATTTTACCCTAATTTATTTTACCTTTTCTTTTGAAATTTGGAAAACTGAACGAATCTAGTAGTTTGTCGAGAAATGAATTTTCTATTATATTATAAAAAAAGTGTATATAACTTAGTTAGAATGCTAGTAACATTTATTTTTATGTCTAAAAGAATATGTTAAATAAAATTTAATGAAATTATAAATGTTTTTAGATTGCTTAGATTTAATAATTATAATTAAAAAAATTTAAATAATCATTAATCTTTTATTATTTGTTGATCGATCACCTTCAACCTAATCTATTTGAATAATTGATTTGCGTTAAACAAAAACCTAACAAATTAATGGTTAAATGCTATTCTAGGGTTTTTGATGTGGAGAGTTGATAATTGTGAATGAGCAATTTTTAATATTTGTACTTTGTATGGGCAAAAAATTTATGTTGAAAACCCAAGAATTAAGCCTTCAGTCCAGCAAGCAAATGAGGTCAAGGATCTCCTCCGTCTCTTTTCTCTTGTTTCGTAGGTTGTCACTTTTCAATTTTCATGGCTGTGGATTCCAAGCATCTACACTGTACGTTTATATATCTATATATATATATATTTTTTTTTTCAAGAAATTTTTTAGTAATTTCTAAGAGTATTTAATAGTTTTCAAAAATTGTTAGGCCATTAAGGTCTTAGGGTGGATGAAATTAAACCTGTTTTCTTTTAAAAAAATCATTCTAATCTAATATGGATTTGTTGGTAAAATTTTTCAATTCAATTCGATTTCATAATTTTAATTTGTTTAATTAATTTATTATAAAAAATGGTAATAATTCAATTTATTAATCAAACTGATTAATTATATTTTTTTAAATAAATAAATAATATGGTAAAATTAAAAGAATTATAGATGATACAAACAAATTTAGTCCAGCATAAAACTACTTTTATAAATTGTAGAATTAGATTTGAGCCCCCAAATTGAAAAGCAAATAAGAGAATTGTGTCAACTTTGAAGCACCTCTTGCTGGCATATAATTTCATTAATTATTACATTAATAATAATCACTTTATGTAAAGTCCACAAGTATTGACTTTTCAGAATAATTAAAATTTAGAAATCATTAGGTTTAAGAGATTGTGATTAAAAGGGATTTTTATTTATTTATTTTTAATAAAAAGTAGATTAAAAAAGTGTAAATCCTCCATCAAATATTTTTTTTCTACTTTGTGGCAAACTAGATAATGGTCCGTGGGGCTGGGGGTGAAAGTGAATAGCATCACTTGATTACAAATTTATTTCCAGTTTATTAAATTTTATATTAATTAATTGAAATAAAATCTTTTTTTATTCTTTTGGAATTGGGCCTAACCTTTTTCCAGTTGGGTTTAAGCCCAAAATAGATTTACCCTATTCAAAACCTTTTCCTGAGAAACTAGCTAACAGCCAATTTTTAACCTAACAAATTTATATATAAAATTACGAATTTATAATTAAATACATAAAATATCAAATTTATGTATAAATATATATATAACCTCAAATTTCAATACGAAAGAGAAAGTCTTTAATAGAAAATATGTATATGTGTTTGTTTAATCATACGACAATTAGAGAGTATAGGTCAATAGGTGAAATGTGCTTATTTATTTTTTTGTTGAAGAGTTTTACGATAATTAATTATAAATAATAAACATGATAATTTATGGGATATTAAATTTCAACTTGCTATCAAAGCAAGGTTCTAAAAACCGGACCGGACCAACTAGTCAGACCAGTGATCAGTGGCGAACGAGTGGCTATCAAGTGCTAGGGTTAGAAGACTTTTGTAAAGTGGAGGTCGGTGGTTCAAGGGGTGGTGTTAGATTAAATTTTGGATGTCGAAATTTAGCCAGAAAAATCCATCTAATACACAAGTCACAGTCGACAAATAGGGGGTTACCAAGTGCCGGGGTTAGATGGGTCTTGTAGAGTGGAGGCTGGTGGTTCAATGGTTGTGTCAGATTAAATTTTGGATGTCCGAATCAACCATAATTTGGCTGGAAAAATTAGCCCAATCGTGACGTTGTTCATGAGTCACAACAAGCGAATAGGGGGCTATGAAGTTTCAAATTTAGGGGGGTTTTGTGGAGTGAAGGACATCAATTCAGGTGGTGGTGTCGGATTAAATTTTGGCCACTGGAATTAGCCAGGATTTGGTCGGAAAATCAATTTAGGGTTAGATCACGAGGGTGTATTTGATAGATTTCAAACACGAAGGAATTGCTTCATATTTGTTAGGGGCGTGTTTGCAAGATTTCAAACTTTTTGGACAGTCGGGTTAATCGATCAGACTGGGTAAATCGGGACCCTACCCCTTGGCCGGGTGACATCCCAGGTCGCGTTTCAAAACTTTGTATCAAAGTGAATGAATAAACTTCAAAATATATACTTGTAAAATTTTTAATAAATTTAAAAAAAAAAAAAAAAAAATGCGGTCACAGAAAGATTATATAATAAACTAGCAGCCTAAGTCCTAACAAAAAAAAAAAAAAAAAAAATGCGGTCACAGAAAGATTATATAATAAACTAGCAGCCTAAGTCCTAACATATTGAATTTAAAAGGAGAATCTATAATTTAGTGTCTAGATTTAGGTAATAACTAACCCAACTAATTTGACGAAGACATAAATGTGTATCATTATTTCTTACAAAATTTATAATATATGATTTCATTAAAATTTTAAAATCATTTATCTCTCAAACTTTTTTTAAACAATTTTTATACTTGTAATTAATAATTTAAGGATTTTTAAAAGTTTTTTTCAAAATTGCTGAAGAGATTTAGATTTAACGATATTTTAAAGTGGATTAAATTAACCCTCAATTTATGTTAGACGAAATTTATTTTTATTGCTTGAGTAGTGATTTTGAAATGTTTTATTTGTTTCAAGTGGTAATTTCACATAACCATTCTTGTTTAATTTTTATTTAGGTTAACTAATGAGCTCATTGTTGGATAGGCGGGCAATTTATTGGAATTAAAGCTTTCTTATTTTTAATTTATCATTTAAGACGTAAAATTAAATGTGGTTGAATAGTATTATAATGGAGCAAATTAAACATATTATAATAAATCAAATATTTACTTTTGTTATCTCCTATGTAGTAATTCCTTAATTCAGATATCTTTTTTTTTTTTTTTTTTTTGGTTAAATCCGAACCCACATTTCTGAATTTTAACTTCATGAATACCTTGAAAGATAAAATTTTGAAAATGAAATTAGAGGATCATTAAAAGTTAATATGACCAGTTGACTATAAGTTGAGTAAAAAGAAGTCCATAATTCTCATCTCCATTGATTCTGATTGGATGATGAAAAATAAATAATTAAATACGTCATGATCAAATATTAATCATGATTTAATGCAGAGCCCGAAAGTATGGGCTTTTGAGAATTAAATTAATTTATTAATCATTATGTTGTGGTCATTATAAGTTGATTACAGTTGATTACAGTTGACCTAAGAAAAATATTAGGGTTAATTACATTTTAGGCTTTATGGTTTTGGTTAGTATCATTAAGGATACAATAATTCTTTTATTAGCAAAATGATCACCAACTTGATTGACATTCGTGTGAAACTAACGAATGGAGGGCATATCTGTCTTTTTGTCATTAGTGGAATTTTTCCAAAATTAAAATGCCATATGAAAAGTTCTGAGAGAATTTAGGGAAATAATAATGGGCTTGAAATTTGGGCTCAATGGGCTTCTGCCAGCACGAAGCATGAATGGGCCATGCCAAGTACGAACCAATTGGGTTTCATGCTTGGCACGACCCAAATGAGCTGTTCTGAAACCACATTTCATTTCCCCCTTTTCCTCTTCTCAACCTATTCCCATCTCCGATCGGAGCCAAGACCGTCGTCCGTGCCGAACGTTTAACACGTCGCCGTCGATCTACCCGATCCCGTCGCCTCCTTGTTCTGCCGTCTCTTTCATTCTCGTCGCGAAGGAGATAGTGTCATCGTCACCGGCGAGCTTCCATTTCGTCGTCGGTGAGAACCAATCTTCCACTTTTCTGAGTTTCATTCATTAGATTATTGATGAGAATCTGGATTGCAATTCAGCTGCCATTCGACATTTGAACAAATATATGAATTGCTCTTATAATTTATAAATTCTTGCAAGTTTATTCTATTTGGTGGATACATCTAAATGGTTATGTGCAATATAAAGTACTTTGCCTTTGAGTTGTTTCTGCCTGATGTTATCTTAGTTACCAAGCTAATTGGTCAGCAAAGTCAGCTAATTTTGCATTAGGTGACTTAATGGAGTTGTATTGCTGTAAAATTTGGAATTGGTTACATGTTGCATAGAGTTTGGCATGTTTCAATTCTGTTTTGATTGAGGGGAGAATCATAATTTTATCTTTTTTCTTTATTTTAGAGGTTTGTAGTTGATCTAGGAAAAATATTAATCTCACTAAAATCTTAACTGTTACCTTAAACCAATTAATGTGGTAGAAATGACTTTAAAAATTTTCTAAATAATTTTACTATAGCTCTTGAAATTCTGGGACAATCGTGAAGCTTAAGTTATGAACTCATTATACTCTGGAATTGAGAAACTTATGAACTTTTTTTTATTTTGACTTCTAGGGATTGTTTTTCTTCAATTTTTGGTATCATTTTTTTTGTCTTGCCGTGATGTGTTGGAACAGAATAAAATTCACCTTAGAGTTAATTAATTTTTAGTAATTCTCTCTCTCTTTTTTTTCCCAATGTTAAAAAATCAGTAAAAGAGTATTAAGATATCCTAGAGATAAAACATTACCCTATTAGTAAAACAGAAATAAACTTGAGAAGGTTGCTTTCGGCTGCACCTCACCAACAAAATCAGGCAAAACTTATACATGTAAGTAATGACATCATTCAAATCAAACTGTTAATTTCTTAATATTTTGTATCTTTTTTTTTTTAATTTCTTTTTTTGAAATTTCATATGCAGTATGTTGCTACTCTGCGTGAACAGTTAGAACAGCTGGCGGAAGAGAGAACACCAGAAGGCTTACCAAGGTTGGTGGATTTCTTTATTCTTTCTCCTTGAAATATGACAGATTTGTTTATATTAACTCCTGTAATTCATTATCTCCATCACAACAAATGTTCTAGGGTTATAAGCTTTTTAATGCTCCAAACTTTATCTTTTTGATTCTGGCCTATGGGAATTATTAGTGCATAATCTGAAGAGAACAAAGAACTTTAAGAAATAGTTATCCTCTTCTATACCTATTTTTGATAATAGGTGATTGAAGTGCTATGCTTCTGTAGAAGTTCAAAAGTTTCTCGATTTCATGGTAATGTATCTTATATTTTGGATTTTTTCCACAGAGTTTCAAAGGCTCAGGTGAATGATTATTCAGAAAAAATTGAAGCCCTTGCTTCCAAATTAGTTGCTCCATTGGTGCGTTTATCTGAACTTGAAAGTTTTCTTTTCTTTTTAATAGTGGTTGGATTCATTTCTCTCTTCTCTTCTTTTTCAAATCAACTGTCATGTTTCATTTAAGTGAAATATTTGGTTAATAAATGTGTGGTTTCCAATATAATTTTAAAGAAGTTAATTCTTAGAATTTTCTTATTCTGTTTTCCAGGAGCAAACAATTATAGCTAGATTTCATATGGGAAAACTGTAAATTCATAGTCCCAGTCTGTTAAGTTGGCCTTGAATCCCTGTAAAGAAGTATCTTCTTATTGCTTGCATCCATGCATTTTCTATATGTTATAGATTCTTGGCTAATTACCTGTGTGTGGTTTTAGGTCTCTGTTTACTGGTTTGTTCCAAGGTTATGCTTGAAGTTTGTTCATTGTCTATTCTTATTCTTCATTAATCACATGGCATTTTATCATTTCTGTATCTCTTAAATAAAAAATATGTGTAATGCACAAAGGTTATTGCTAATCATTTTTTTTTTCTCATCATCAGCCTGATATTCAAATCTCTGAAGATCCTGTTAAAAGTCATTCTTTTACAGAAAGCCCTACTAAAACAGATGGAGAAATTCACACCCCCTCTTCTCCAGGATTGAGAAGGAGATTTGTGTAAGTGATTGTATAATTATGATCAATGTCATTTGTCTTAGCTCCTGATTATAACTCTGTTTTTCCCATAGTTGTTTCATTTGCCTTTTTGTATTAATTCAATTGGCAGGCCTGCCTCAAATATTGGGGATAGAAGTCATGATACTCTTGAAGTTGATAATTCAGAACCAGTTAAACTGGATGCTGCGGCACAAGCGCACATTGAGAAGCACAGGTACTTAAGTTTTTCCATTGGTATTTTTATCTCGAATAATTAAGCATGGAATGATATTGCAACAAATGACTATTGTAGATTTGCCTTCCAGTTTACTCATACATACGCTTGTATAGATAACTAAGATTTATTATAAAATATAATGAATTTTCTTCCAACAGAAAAGGGAAAAGGTTTTTGGCCAGTATTTGGGGCTTGTCTTTTCACAATTAATGTCTTCAGTAGCATTTCAGTTTTAGTTATAGAAACCATTTACCCTGAAATGTTTTGTATAAATTGCAACTGAATTTGTAGTAATAAAGGGCAGTGTTCTGAATGTTGTGGCTCTAATGACCGGAAGAGGATCCACCTTCATTTTTTCACTTTGAGGATTAAGGTATAATGAGCCTACAATTTATTTTATGGCAGCTACACCATAATCTAAAATTCAAATTTGGCCAATATTCTGTTCAATACATTAACTGGTTATGTTAGCTTTTCTTTTAAAGTGAAAATATGACAGAATGCAAGAGTTAAGCTGCTTAACTACTTTTGGTGCTTTCAGTGATCACTGGTTCATCTAGCATATTACTTACTGTATAATTATTTTGTCTAAATAATCACTGCAGTTTCTTGAATGATTTATGATGTAGCTACCTGTATCTGTACTTGCTCTGATGTTGCCATATGTTAAAATGTCTTCACCAGAAAGCTTCAAGAGAACTTAACGGATGAAATGGTTGGTTTGGCACGACAACTGAAAGAGAGTAGTCTACTGATAAGCCAATCCGTGCAGAGTACTGAAAAAGTAAGAACTATCATCATAGATTACCAAATCTTTCCTTATTTTCTTCTTCCTTTCTAGGTCAGTGAATAAAAAGTTATTCTGATGCTGAGATTGATACAATTGTCTAATTTATAAAGCATTTTCCTCACCAGACGTGCCACATTTATTTGGCAACTTGAATAGGTTGATAGTTATAATTTCTCATGATCATTAAATTGAGTGATGAAGTTGATTGGTTGGAATGGTGCAGGTGCTTGATTCAACAGAGAAAGCTATTGAGCAAAGCCTGGCAAGCACTGGTCATGCCAATGTGCGGGCGATGAAGATATACTCAGAGGGTTCTAAGACTACATGTTTCACATGGCTTCTGATGTTTGCAATGACATGTATTTTTATCATGGTTGTACTTCTAATTCGTGTAACCTAAAGTGATTGATTATCTCATTTCGCTTTCAAAGTTTCGCCCAGTCAATTTATGTCATATAGTTTTTCATGTTCTTAGGTAAGTCTTGAGATGGATGTTCTTCATCTTCAGTCTTCACTACTTTTAATTCTCAAAATTTTTTAGAGTTTATTTAAAAGACAGAAATAACCATAAATTCATATGAGTAAACTTAAATTTTCCAATAAAAAGAGTGTGAATGTGTTAGATTAGTAAGTCTAGAACGATTTGATATGGTTTATCATGCTTTAAACGTTGAGCCTAGTGTGATTTAGTGGTTATATGTTAGAGGGGAAAAAAAAATTTGCATAACTATATATGCAAGGGCACACCAGGTCCACCACATCTAGCCTAGGCCAAGGTTGGGTACTATTGGCTCCGCCCCGGCTAAGGTTGGGCTTGTTATGGGCCAAGGTTGGGCACCGACGTGCACTCTCTTTGGAGTGATATTGTTTATTTTTGTCCGCAGGGATTGAATCGAGAGTGAAGATTGGCTTAAAATTTATGTTATAGATGTGGATTATGACTGAGTATAGGACTTTAATTTAATTTAAATTTTTAATGTTTATAAATTTTTATGGGTTATTAAGAAACGTTATAATTTTTTATTATTTTATTAAAATTAGGGGTAAATATGATGTTTTGTTGATTTAGATTTGAGGGATGTCAGCTACTAGATTTAAGTAACTCTGTCAGCCAGGGGATCCAAGCAATTACCGAACCCAGAGGAGGATTTGGAATATCAATATGACCGAGGAGGTTCAGTAAAATTTTCCATAATGTTTTGATAGAATAAGATTAATAACCTGTCTTGAATCCTGAACATAAGAAAACAATTATAAAAGTGAACTTTTCAATAATTGAAGCTAAATTAAATAAAACAGAATCCCTATTCCCTACTGTATTATCCTCTTCTGGATTTTAGTGTACTTCTAAAACACCCCTTATACTTTGAAAATTATTGCTGACCTCCCTTATTAAATATCTTTGTGCTGATGACATACATCTCTTAAGATGTTGTGTAATTATGCTAACACCCTCTTATAAAATATTAGTTAGCAATAAATCACATATGGGGAAAAAACCTGACCTAGGCCTTACAATAGACCAAAAATCACAATCTTAATTTTATTCTGTTGTATTTAACAAAGTCAGATTTGTTATTTGAAAAACAACAACCATGGTGTCGGTTTCGCCATCCTAGCAATAATTAAAAACATTCGGGAGGTTAATGAACTTATTGGGATAAGTGATATTTTTCAACTATAAAGGGTATTGAAATAGAGAAAACTTCAGGGGAGGTACGAAGTTTAACCCTAAATAGTTGAATAAACAATAAAACCAAGCGCGCCAAGTTATGAATTTTAGTTAGCTTCTCAAAGAGAAGGCACAGCCATGGCCATTGAATGCCTAGTTCTCGGTAACCTATCTCTTCTCTTCACTCTCTTCTTCACCTCCAAGCTCCACAAAGATTTTATTCATTCGTTTTTATTGATTTGTTTAGGAGCTGGGCAAGAAATCGGGAAGAGCTGCGCGGTTGTAACAATCAATGGCAAGCGAATAATGTTCGATTGCGGGATGCACATGGGCTACGACGATCACCGTCGTTACCCAGATTTCTCTCTCATATCGAAGTCCCGAGACTTTGATAATTCGCTTAGTTGCATCATCATTACTCACTTGTAAAACCCTACTTTTCGTCTTTGCTCATTAGTTTAATTTCTTTGCTTGTTTTTCATCGAGTAAATTCTTGCTATTTGGTAACTGTGCGTGTACTATTTCGAATGTATTTTTTTTGTTTTTTGTTTTTTTGGTTTCAGTCACTTGGATCATGTTGGGGCGCTTCCTTTCTTCACTGAAGTTTGTGGGTACAGTGGACCTATTTATATGACTGTAAGTTTATTATGTGTTTGATAAAATGTTTAGCTCATGCTTTCACTTTTTGTATAATTCTGTTTTATGGGTCGAAGTGGAAAAACAGTTGCAGATTTTTTTCCTATGAAGCTTCATATTGAGTTTAATTTGTGCTGTATAAACTAAAAGTCTTAAATTTTTAGCCTTTTGATTTTTATATACGGCAATCAAAATGTGTAATTTGAAATTGTGGTCTCCAAGTTCAGTTTAAAGGGTCAATGGACAATATATTGCCGCCTTAACATACTTTACAACATGCCATGTTGATATTATTGGTGAACTTCTTATTGCATTAAATAGCTGATGGATTTAGCTCTTCTTTGTTAGTTGGTGCACTATTTTAAAAAAGTTCTAACATTGTTCTTGTTTTCTCCATTTTCAAGTCCATTTTCATTTTTCTAATTCATGGTAGTATATAGTTTCGGATTTTTTTAGAATTGCTTTCTTCATAATATCTAAATATGATCCTTGTAGACTAATGGTTTGATGGGAAATCTCAGCACTTCACTTCAGATTTTAGTCACTTTCAACTACTTCCTGTTTTGTTAGAGCATATTCAATTGCTTTTGAAACTTTAAAAAGCTAGTCAAATCTTAGTACTTCAGAAATTGAAGCTTGTAGCTTAGGGTATCTGCTATTAAGTCATTCTAACATAGATGTATTTTGCCTGTGCTATTTATGCCATAATATTTCCATTTTCCTAGAGGGATTAGCTTAGTTCATTGTTATGTGGTTTTGACTTGTTTGTTGGCTTGCATGTGGACTTCTATTTTCATAAAAGTGATATGTTTTTGACCGATCATCATTGGAATTGAAAATATAGATTTTGATTTTTCAACAAAATTATTCCTACTGCAGTATCCGACAAAGGCATTGTCTCCTTTGATGTTGGAGGATTATCGAAAAGTTATGGTTGACCGAAGGGGTGAGGAAGAGCAATTTACTTCTGATCATATTGCAGAATGCATGAAGAAAGGTAGACATATTTTCATATTCCATGGGCGTAACTTGTTCTGGACCTTTCATTCTTTGTACAGTTAGGTAAATACTGAATTAAGAGCTGCATGCATCAAAATAGGAATTCCTGACTTACTATAACACTAGTAACGTATTGTTTCCGTTTGTTTTGATTGAAACTTTTGAAGTTGTTATTTTATTGATCCAACTTCTTTTCACCTAAATATTGAATTATTCTGCTCTTCCATTTCTTTACAATTTTACTTTGTTTTTAAGTCGTATTCTGCTTCATATTCTTAAAGTTTCAAGTGGTTATATTGCATTGGATGTTTTCTCATTTTCTGTTTTGAATTGGTTTATTGTTGCAGTTATAGCAGTAGATCTGAAGCAGACAGTGCAGGTTGACAAAGACCTTCAGATCCGTGCCTATTATGCTGGACATGTAAGGTTTTTGAACTTGATTCTCAAGATATAGGCTATTTTAGCAGCCTTATCTGCCCTAGACTTAGGCAGCTCACCCTGTGCTGTAAGTTCTTTACGCAGTCATTCTTATCCAGTTCACAGTGTGAACTAAACTCCTGTACTGTCAATTCATAGCCAGCCCAGAAGCCTAAGAATTGTATGTATGCATCAAAATTAAACTAAGAGAGAAATTTTATTGTATGAAATGACATATTGCCTTCTCTTTTCTAAGATATGGCTGTTAAATGCAGTCTAACTATTATTTTAATTTATTTTTCTAAAGGTTTTTCAGTTTACAAATTTATATTAGACTCCTCTCGTGAGTAGGATTTGTACCAACATCTTTTATATAACCCCAAGAAATCCAACTAACTGACCTTGCCATTACTCATATATCTAACCACATGTGTTTTAGGGCTTAAATACTGTTGCCAGATTCTTAACTGCCAACTTTTTTCCAAGTGGCTGTTTAACATGGTACTATGGGCAGTTGATAAAATAGTCTTGTGTCTGAATCTCCATTGTATAATCGACTTAGAATAAGTTGTGTTTTTGTTTGTTGCTATATCTTTAATTTTGCTTGTGTTGGATTTGGGCCTTGTATGTGAGGAAACTTGCTAGTGTTCAAATACTATTATTAGGTCCTTCATCATTTTAAATATCTGGGTCTTGTGGTAATATTCTTGATAGATACATTTCTTACCTGATAAAAATTATTTGTGCCCCACATGAGGAGCTTGACACTGTTCAAAGTATCCATATCATATGTAGTTTAAAAAATTTGTGACATATCATTTTCATTATTAAGTAACACATAATGTTTTTATCATTAATTTTGAGAACGTAATCAGTGTTGTCCATATATGTATATATGTGTGTGTGGATGCATTATTTTAGTAGGCTTTTTCCATGTCATTAACTTTCAACTCTCGTTGTTTATGATGTATAAGGTGCTAGGAGCTGCAATGTTTTATGCAAAGGTGGGGGACACTGCTATGGTGTACACAGGAGATTATAATATGACTCCAGATAGACATCTTGGAGCTGCTCAAATTGATCGACTACAGCTGGACCTCCTTATAACAGAGTATGGAACCTATGTGCATACAGTGTTAAGTTGTGTGTGTAGTCCCTTCTGCAAATGTTATGGAACAAACTATTAGCTATTGGTAACAAGCTTCCGGAGCATGTATTTCAATATGTCTTAGTTTGGTGGAAGAAGAAAGACTTATGCCTTTCATTAGTTTTCTTTGCCATAAAAGCGATTAATTTCTCTAGCCAGTTTAGGATATCCTAACTCTCATAAAGAATGATCAGAAGGCCAGCGCCATGTCAGTACTCCATCATACTACAACATAGTCTACCAATCTGATCTTTTTAATTGAGTGCATCATCATTTTAATGTCTCGAATGAATATCAAATTTTCCTCTTACCCTTTTCGCCTTGTATAAAAAAAAAAAAATGAAAGTTGGTTGTGAATAGTTTTTATAACCTTTATCCTAAATGATTGCAAAAATCAGCTGGAAATATTTTCTTTTTGACTTTATCATTCATTTAGTGCCCGAGTACCAAATTGACTATCTAGTTTTGTTTTGTATTGGTCTTAATATCTTTAATTATCTAAAGCTAATTTACTAAAGATGAGCTTTTGTTAATATGCTAAGATGAAAATTGTATTCAAAATTTCAATATTTTAAACTATTTTCTGTATTTAATGATTATGTTATTCAAATATGAATTCTTGTGAATAAATTTCTTGCTTAAGTATGATTGTATATTATAGGTTTGGTTGTAGGGATGTTATATAATCTTCTTCTGACAAGAATTTTGCATCAGGTCCACATATGCAACAACTATAC